CACTAGAGCAAGTACTCATAAAGCCACCAACAAGTCCACCACACTAGAGCAAGTACTCATAAAGCCACCAACAAGTCCACCACACTAGAGCAAGTACTCATAAAGCCACCAACAAGTCCACCACACTAGAGCAAGTACTCATAAAGCCACCAACAAGTCCACCACACTAGAGCAAGTACTCATAAAGCCACCAACAAGTCCACCACACTAGAGCAAGTACTCATAAAGCCACCAACAAGTCCACCACACTAGAGCAAGTACTCATAAAGCCACCAACAAGTCTACCACACTAGAGCAAGTACTCGTAAAGCCACCAACAAGTCCACCACACTAGAGCAAGTACTCGGAAAGCCAAGAACGTATTGGATTTATCATTTCTTTTGAATAACTACTAAGGTCCAGCAGGTACCTCAGCAGTGTCGGAGATATTGCCTGCTCTGACATTTAAAGCTTACACCGAAGAAGCAACTCAGTTGTTTCTCTTTCATTTCTGATAGTTTCTATCATTTCTACATCATCTTGTGAACTTTTCCATTTCCATGGTGTCTTCGTAAAGAACCTTTTGTTAGCTCTTCACATGCATTGTGTCTACCTAACATTTTTGGTTGACCGTTCATTTCCGTGTGTCTCCATATCTACCAATGGCTACCTCTGAGTATCTGTGCACCAGAATGGTCGGTTGACCATATCCATGATGTCATTTCAGTGTGTTGGTGCTATAAACGTCCTTTTCAATCTACCATCTAATGTTCTATACAATGTACTAAAATCCTTGCGTGGTACTACAATCAGTGTTACAACACCGTCCTCACACGACTAAATCTAGACGCAGGAAAACTTCTGGACGCTGAAGCAACCCAGTTTAGGAAGCAGGGGGAGGGGATTAACTAGGGATAGATAAACAAACTTGATCTTGTTTATGTGTAGTAACTAAGTCTAGAAAATAAGTATGCATGGCAAGTTCATGAGAACGTTATTTGCGCAATGAAAAAGTTTATCATTACTAATGATACGAGTATAGATAATGGCACCATTAGTGAACTTACAAACACTGTACCTGTCGAAAAGGTTCCAAATCCTCACAATAGAACGCTCTCCAAAGCAACAGACCTCCTGGCAGGAACGTTCATCGAGGTAATACTCCTCTCCCAAACTCTGGTCAGTAATCATATACTGTTGGTCAATACAACACGAGGGTGCGATGTACACTACTAAACCCTGGTCAAGACGGTCAATTATAGCACAGGTATGAATGATTATCTACTAGGGCGAACCTAAACCGAAGGTCATACTCTCGCCATCTGGACTTAATGTATGCCAATGTTAATACCTTCCAGACATGTCCACAGTGCTTCCGTTTCGACCGACGTGAATTGCCTTGTGTAGAGAAATTTAAGTCTGAGGTATTGGAAAACGATGACTTACCTGTCTGTTACGTTCAGTCTCACGTGTTGACTTAAGTAAGTATCCGGAACACTGGCCGTCAGTTCTTACACACTCCGATCACGAGTCGATAAACATGTTAATGAGTATAAACAGATAATGATGAGTAGGTAAATACTATTTGCTGGTTATTACAGGTGAATGTTGTTTGACCAGACACAGCTCCCGTACCTGTGTTCAAACCAATCTGGACAGAACAAATTCCATGGCAGACCTAATGTCAAAGTACATATTGCTAGCTGAAGACAGCGTAACGTTACCGTGCCCCGCTAATGTGTTAAGTAAAGGAATTGTGAGCCAGTGTATCGGTGTAATTACGGGTGGCGCTGTAAGTACACATTCCTACCCGTATGTCCCACAAATTAATGGGCTCTGATGAAGTACGCTTCACTCTATAACATGATTAGCACGGAGGTGACTCGTATTTGGTTTGAATGACATTGTTATAAGCGAAAGTGTATCCACATAAATCCTGTCTTACAATTACAGATCAAATACACAGCGCGCGCGCGGGTGGTGACAGGTGTTTATATTAGGGATTCCCTACCCGTACCTAGTACGTCGAGATAAGTTTTCCTCATGCCTGACACAATGGTGTCTAAAATCTGTTGTAGAAATATTCAACCAGGTCATTGTTTCTTCTGTGTATAAATAATGTACGCATTTACTGTTATTGGCGTGATAAGTAGTACGCTTTTGACCAACTGGGAATATATGTTATGTCATGGATAACGTCACAGTGTGAGATCGTACCACCGAAATATCCGTATCAGAACCAACATCATGTCTAATTTCATAACTATTTATGGGATTGGTTGCCGAGATTCTAAAACACCCGAAACAAGTGCGTACATGTACGCTAGTCCGATACATATCATTGAAAGTACTTCAAAACGTCTTACTAATATTCGTGTAGCCTGAACTTGGTTCCTAGTTCCGTTTATCTTAAACAGAACTAGAAACTAGGAACCAAATTCAGGTGAACTCATATCAATCATACTTTGGCGTTGTGCCCTGATTGTCAGGCTTTTAGTATTTGTCAAGTTACCTTGAGAGCGTCATGACTACATTGGTGTGAACATCTCAGATGATACTTACGAATATTTGTATCGTAGTTGTGCTCAGCTTATTTTGTATCGTAGTTGTGCTCAGCTTATTTTGTATCGTAGTTGTGTTCAGACCAATTTGTATCCTATTTGTTTTCAGACTCATTTGTATCCTAGTTGTGTTCAGACCAATTTGTATCCGTTTTGTTTTCAGACTCATTTGCATCCTAGTTGCTCTATCACTTTTTTTACTTGTTGCTCGTATTCGTGCAGTGATACCTATCAAATATCTTTCTCATGTCTACATTATTACGTTAGCATTTGTCCCCATATCTATCCATTGTCCACTTTTGTGCATCAAAATATATCACCCAGATCTACATGCATCTGATGTCCACATTTCTCCCTATCCATTCACTGTCACATTTTGTACGTTAAAATAACCCGAAATACATCCAGTGTCAGTGTTTGTAATTGAAACCTAACAGGATATCTATTCAAGGCAATTTTTGTGCATGGAACATAACTGTGTGCATCAAAGCCTATCCCAAAGCCTATCTGATGTCTAACTTTGTGTCTTTAAACATATCACCGGATATATCTGATGTCTACATATCTAGGTTCTGCATTTAAACTTTTCCCCACTAACTTCTGATGTCCCTGTCTCATACGTCTCAGATCTATATAAACTCGACGTTTGTGTGTTGAATCCTATTCAATCCCCGTTTCTATTTCATGTCTACCCTTGTACTTTAAAACCTTTTCACATATCTATCCAATGTCCATGTTCGATTGTACGTAAGAACCTGCCTACATATCGTTAGAACCATTTCACATATCTATTATATATCTGTCTTATGTCGTCCACCGTCTTACTTTGAAGTATGACTTACTTGAGATATAAATTGTGCAAGTATACAATCACATTCCCAAAGACGATGATGGTATTACTGCTCTTCCCAGCATAAAAATGTATTAGACAAAGCCCATATAACACCACTGGTAAATATGACACGTCTGTATCTAGAGAACCGCCTAAGCAATAATGGTGCTTATGATTGCTCTTACCACGGTAACACTATGAAGTTTATGTATTCAAAATACTGTAAATAAATGTAGTGTATTATGATAGCGTCATGTGTGACCAATATGTGAACATAGTTTGTAGTGATAACGTCATATACAATTTAAGAGCAACATGTAGATGTAGTTTGTAATGATAAAGTCATTGTTTGGGCAAAATGTAAATGTTTTAAAGAAAATAATAAACTTTTTTTTCTAAAAAAAAACTTAAAAAAATACTGTAAAAATATTATGATTCTTAGAATTACTACAGAATTACTGTTCCATATTTCTGTTTCTTGATGTTTCATACTGAGAGGTGCTGGACCTACCTCCTTTCCCTATTCTAGTGAAAACCTCATGTTTGGTGACTTAAGAATTTTCCCCCTTGGGTTGAGACTCTACTATCTCACCCCTTGGTGGTGAGATATTCTTTTATTCTCAATCTGCCTGGTAGGGCCAGGTTTCCATGGCAACTTTTTCTGTAACTATACATTACCAACCATTTTATTAGCATATATGTATTTGCCGGTGTCCTGTGCCTCTGTCTACGAGGTCACAATTACAATTACTATACGAATTTACCTTATGTTGCACATTAATACAATTATTTCACCGTGTTTAGAATGACAAGAAATATCTGCTATGTGTTTTACTAATACAGACCCTGAACTGTTTTTCTTGTCGATTTAAACGCAAACGGAACGAAAATGCAATGGAAACGCAACGGACTTGTTGTCGAATATTTATTCATAAACCAGGGACGTATAATGTATACTGTCCCTGCATAAACTAAATAGCAGAAAATTGTATCATAATTCCATTAGTTATAAAATAATTATGATCATTTTTCCATAGGCAAAAAAAGTAGGGCTAAAAACATGGTCAGTATGCCACAAACTTCAGCGGGAATTATGAAATAACCGATCAAGCGAGACATAGGAAGTCATCATTTGAAGATACCTTCGTCGTATGACCAATGCGCTTAAGCTCTAAAAGGACGAACAAACAAGCCAACATTCCAAGAATGTGATCAGTGACATGTACTGCACGTGTCTAAAATACTACATGTGGTAAAACCGGAGGCTGTGATTGGATAAATATGACCGTTACATTCTCTCCAAGAAGTCGTGAAATGCATGCCAATACGATGGGTATACAGTCTAAAAATTAAACCATCATCAAAATGTGCTGTGGAGCATGTATGTCTCTAATATAGAAGTAACATAGCCTGTCGCCGTAAGGCTTTTCTATCATATTTATAACGACATCAATACAAAATCAGTGATAGATCAATGGACACGAAGGGAACATTTCTATGACGGGGATAGATTACACGGTAGCTACACGTGTAGGACGCGGCAGTGGGTGACACCTACATGTAGCTACAACTGCCTGGCCTGAGGACGATATACTGGCCGCTGGAATTGAGCTTCATAATGGACATCAGATCAGTCTCTCTGATATCACCATTGGCTTGATACAATTAAGCATTGAACTGTTTTTGTATGATATTTATGATCTATTTGAATGACACAGCTTTGCAAGCAAACAACATAATGCGCGCAGTTCAATACTTATATTTACGTTTTCTCTGCCTCTTATGTTCTTTTTTAACTTATAATTTATAATTAAAATAATTAAAAATGCCCGCCTTATCGACAGTCCACACAATTTCATTCAATAGTTTGAACAGCTTATTGTCGCGTGCTGATTGGCAAACAAAGTAGTACTTTGACATTTTCACAAACACTTCAAATTTATTCCACAATTTAGTATCAATACGAATTGCGTATGATATGTCTATAGGGTGATTCCAGTTTTCAATAGAAATCTGAGCTGAAAGTTAGATTTGAAATTGTTTCGATTTTCCCCCGGAACAAATTTCGCGCATGGATAAATACAGTGAACACCGTAAATGGGACCTTGACCTCCACGAGGGAGTTATTTTTGGAAGTTAATTCGAACTTTTCTCTTTGCTCGTTTTGTGAAGAATCCANTGCAGACCTTGGTCTTGTTTTCGTTGTAATAAAAGTGTTTTTATTTTTTTATTTATTTTTATTTTGCACATTAAGTTACAATGACATTATCAAATCTCACAATGCCCAGCGATATTTCAGCAGCCGTCATGTTTATTTACATTTGATATTGTAGTTCCGGTCAGTGTTGTAATTAATACGCTAAGAATTGTGTCTCGTGCGGCATGGGAATTATGTCTCGTGCGGCATGGTAATTAAAGTCCCATCAACGACACAGCTCTCAAAGAGGCTATATAGTGACAATGCCATGCAAATGTAAATATTCAATTTTAAATACGTAGAAGTAACGCTGACATTCAACTCTTGACCTTGTGCCCCGTGACCAGTAATCGATCAGGCACTTTACATGGAGATACGTTTTTAGAAAATTTGATGTCTAAAACTTTCATCAAATTATTAATCATTACATTTTAGACATTACTCCTAATCCAAGTGTATTATATGTAAACAAACCAACAGTATAAAACTGAAGCCATTATGGGAGCTGGTAGCTACGTTTGAATTCGTATAATTGTCGGTGAATTATTTCGTACATTGTATGTTGATTACAATGACATACTTTTTCGAAAGTTCAGGATTACTCATTATATATGTTATCAGTGAAATAGGTAAGTATTGGAGTATGTTTATTTGAAATATTTAGCTTTCTAATTACGATAAGTGAATTATTTGGGTAGTTAATGGAGGTAAACTATTAAAGTTGTTGATAACACCCTACGAATGATTCAGATGGTTAATTGTCATATGTGGAATTTTCCGATATGTACGTTTATTGATCCGAATTGTCACTTTAAAAAGCTTGTTTTAATTCAATGTTTTTAAGTAGAAGATCGAAATTAGCATTATTACATTATCAACATAGATAATCTTGTTTTGGTTTTGTAATTAATGATAATAGTATGTTTGGAACTTTCAATATAGTTATTTTATAAAGGAATTCTGTCATATTTTCTAATAGTTTTTTTTTTATTCATTTGTCTTCTGTTGTCATATAGCGCCATTGTTTTGAAGAAAATTAATTTTAATTCCTTTTTTCGGGCTTAATTTTCAGTCACAGAAAATATAGAGTGTTCATTTATAAAACATTTGAAAGCTTATATTCTTGGTTTTAACCAAATGATTTTTAACAAAATTAAGA